GCAGAGGAGGTGGAACACAAATCTGAGTGTCCAGAGTATTTTTATAACTGCAGAACCACATTCCTAAAAGTTAGATATAGAAGTAGGAACTGAAATCTTTGATTTAATGCAGACTTTGTTGTTTTGGAGTTTTTCCTTTCATGGCTCAGTGAGCTTCTTGCCATTAGTCAGACAAATTCTAATCTCAAAAACAATTGGTGAAGGGGCGTCTGGCTGGCTCAGTTGGTAGGGCATGTGACTCTTGACCTTGGGGTCATAAGGTCAAGCCCCACATTGGACATAGAGATTACTTAAAAAAAACTTGCTGAAGATAGTTTAAACACTAAGAATGAGAAAGTAATTATTCCACAAATAATTTTTGGCCAGTTACAGCCTGCTCTTGGCTTTGCCCCCTACACAAGTAGATCTCATCTAGTGCTGTTGCTGGCATTACAGGTACAATTATCAGTAGAATGTTACTCACTCAGGACAAAACAGCAGTTGATTCTCTAAAGCAGACTGGAGAAGGTCTAAGCTGCCAAGCACACCAATTCAGATAGGCAGGAAAAGGTCTGCTTTAACATTTCTCTTGAATCACACAACTGGTTTACTAAGTTGACAAATTTTTGTTAAGAATCAAACATGACAGGGGTACCTGGATGGCATAGTCGGTTGAGTATCCAACTTCAGCTCAGGTCATGATCTCACGGTTTGTGGGTTGGTGAGTTCAAGCCCTGCATTGGGCTCTGTGCTGACAGCTCCGACCTTGGAGCCTGCTTCGGATTCTGTATCTCCCTCACTCTGCCCCCACCCACTCGTGCTCTGTCTCTCTCTCTCTCAAAAATAAATAAACATCAAAAAAATTTTTTAAAAAGAGTCAAACATGACAAGTGAATATCTGTCATGTCTATCAGGGAGTCACATCAGAAAATACTTGAAAAGTCATCTCATTTCTGCAGTCATATATAGATTACTTAAAATGCTTTCTACTATTCTCCTGGACTCTAGTTTCTCCTCATCCCAACTTGCTCTGTATACTGTTGCTTAGTCAGTTGTCTCAGCTCTGTGACCTTGGACAAATCACCAAACCTCTCGGTCTGTTTCGTTATCTGCTAAATGAAGTGGCTGTGCTAGATTAGCGTCCTTTGTACTGTGTTAGTTAGAGTCCTCGAATCCCACAGAGGTACCTTGGTGCCTTTGGTGCCACTGAGCAGGTTGGAGGAAAGGTGGGCCAGAGGCTGAGTTGGCAGGCCTCTGTGTATCCATTCAAACACAGCAGCCCTTTTAGAAATTATAGGCCTGGGACGCCTGGGTGGCTCAGTCGGTTGAGTGTCTGACTTCGG